ATATAACTGCCTCCAATTAGTGACATTAAAGACTGCTACTAGCTTTTGAGAGCAAAATAAAATAAGTAAAAACAAACAAACAAACAAACAAAAAATAAACTCATATCCTTTGACACAATGATTCCATATCCTATGGATAATACTAGTTGAATAGTTTTAAATAGATCTATGTGTATAAAAACATCCATAGTTACTTTATTGGCAATAGTAAAAAATTGATGACTCAACTCTCCAGAAACTGGACAATAGTTCAATTAGCATATTATAGTAAGTAAAAAAGGCAGTTAAATGGCTAAGTGGATAAAGCCCTAGGTATAGAGTCAGTAAGATTTGAGTTCCAATTCAGCCTTAGATACCTACTAGCTTCAGGACCCTGGCAAGTCACTTAAACTCTGTGTGGCTTAATCCACTGGAGAAAGAAATGGTAAACCACTCTAGTATCTCTGCAAAGGAAAACCCCATAGACAGTATGGCCCATGGGGTCATGATGAGTCGAACACAACTAGACGACAAAACAAGTGAACAACACAATATAGTAAGAAAGTATATTCATTTGTGAAATGATCCAACCATTTTGGAAAGCAATTTGGAACTATGCCCAAAGGGCCATAAAAATGTGCATACCCTTTGAATCAGCAATAGCATTTCTAGGGCTGTATCCCAAAGAGATCACACAAACGGGAAAAGGACCCACATGTACAAAAATATTCCTAGCAGCTCTTTTTGTGGTAGCAAAGAATTGAAAATTGAGAGGATGCCCATCAATTGGAGAATGGCTGAGCAAGCTGTGGTATATGAATGTGATGGAATACTATTGTGCTATAAGAAATGATGAACAGGTTGACTTCAGAAAAACCTGGAAAGACTTGTATGGTCAGATGCTGAGTGAAGTGAGGAGAACCAGGAAAACGTTATACACAGTAATAGTCATGTTGTGCAATGACTAATATTGATAGACTTAACCCTTCTCGGCAATTCAAGGATCTAAAACATCTCCAAAGGCCTCATGATGGAAAATGCTATCCACACCCAAAGAAAGAACAATGGAAGTCAAAAACAAAAAAAAAAAAAAGAAAGCATATTCAGGTCATAAAAAAGGCAGTGATGAAGAAGACTAAGAGGTAAAAAGTTGAAGCTGCTAGGTATAAGAGATAGAGCATGGGGCTTGGTGTTAAAAAAAAGACAACGTAAAAGGACATATAATTTGATTAAAACTAGATAGAAAAAACCAAGTCATATTCCAGAAGGAAACATAAAAATGTTTATGTTTATAATAAAAAATTACAAAACATTCAAAATTTAAGACTTTATTTGGAGAAAGGAAAAATTTGAAAGTAAAGAGAGTCAGTGATAGAATACATATGCAATGTATTGTGATTTTACCCTTCTAGTTCAGGCTTTCCTCGCATCTCACCCAGACTACTGCATCAGCCCCAAATTGGTGGAACATTCTTAAGTGGTTCTCTATTCTAATTAATTTTCCACACTGAGTTTGAAGAGATATACCCAAACCAAAGAAAGGTGTAGCCCCATAGCTCCTTTGCTCAGTAAGCCCCCGTGCTTCCTGTTACTCTAGGATAAAAACCAAATTCCCCAGTGTGCCCAAATAGATACATTGTTATTACACATCACTCCCCTCAGTAATCCCTACAGGTTAACCAAATTAGCTTTCTTACTGTTCTTCACACAGAATATATCATCTCCCACCTCTATGACTTTGCACAGGTTGTTCTCCATACTTGGACCATATTCTCTCCTTTCCCTTTCCTCTTAAAATTACTAGTTTCCCTTTATTCTCAGTTCAAATACTACCTCTTTCCAATAGCTGATAATAGCTACCCTCCAAAATTCTCTCTCTATATTGTTATGTACTTATCTACTCAAAATGTACACATTGTATTTCCCCAACAGAATGGAAGCCATTTCAGAGGGCCTGTTTGATTTTTGGCTTTGAACCTTCAATGCCTAGCATAAAATCTGGCACATAGCTAGATGCTTGATAACTGTTTGTTTGATCGGAGAGAAAAAAAAAAAGATGAGACAGTACGGCTCAGTTGCAATCTCCACAGAAGAAGCAGATATCACATCAAAGAGATCTTGGTCTTTAGTAAAGTATCTGGAGATTGACTATATAATTTGCTTGACGGCTTACTAATTTTTATTTGTTGGCAGGGTTACTCTGCTTATGATTTTAAGAAACAAGAAAAAGAATGTCTCTCTCTTTGTCTTTCGGTCCCATGCTGATCTGGTCCACTAACTAATAAGCCCCAGTGGTAATACTAATTTAATCATAAAATTGTAATGATGTATGATCAGGTAAAATCTCATCATTCAAAACACATGCTGTTTTTGTTTTTGTTTTTTTTTTAAATTTACTTTTTAAAATCTTTACTGACCCATCTTTGGCCAGAATAGTAAAACTATTACCTGCTTGTCTGAAAAAGAGAGAGCACTGTAAAAATAAAGTATAGAACAGACTAAGAATCAGTTTGGTTTCAGCTACCTACAAAAGCACTGATTCTGTGTCAAGAAGGGCATGCATGTTGTTCTTTTTTTCAATTTCTGGACATATTAGGATATGATGTTGCTATTTTTCTGAAGGGTAGCTTCCTATTTATTTTTGCACCACAAAACAAAACCTAATAGGCACAACAATCTGGTAAATAATTTTCCATGAGCCAGATCACTAATGCATACCTCAGTTAATCCACCAAAATGTAAGCTTTTTTGCAGGTAGGGAATTGTTTCATACATTGTACTCCCATCCATATCCCCTAACACATACTTTGCCAATAAATGTTGATTGAATGGTTAATCAGCAGAGTTGAAGAGTGCAATGTTCCAGTTAAAATAATTTTTCAATTCACTGAGGGTCAACCAAATAATGTAATGAGATTGAGTAAGGCTAAGTTGTCACTACCTACAATTAAAACACCTGTATGGGAATCCTCTTTCAGGTAGGAAGAATCCTATTAGTTATCTTCAGGAATTGGCTTTCCAACCAATACACCACTGAATTACTAATTACAAACCTCACCACTAAACGTCACCAACTATTGGAGAATGATTTAGTAACTTTTGGCTGCCTTCAGTGACCTGAGGTAAGCAGAATAAATGGAAAAGACCACAAAATAAATGAGGTTATCCCAAGTGAATAAAAGTGGCAAAATTTCACAACAATAGGAAAGAGAAAGCTTTGAAAACTCATTAGCAATAGTGAGTATTTGAAAAACAAAACTTGATTCTAAGTAGAAGAAGCAGCTAAAGGAGGTTCTAAACACACACACACACACACACACACACACACACACACAAAATGCAACAACTGGGCAACTTAAGCCCCAAATTGACCTTTCCCATTCCTCTTACTCCCTCAAGAAGTAGACTTAAAAAAACAAAACAAGGGCATACAAAAGCAGTTAGATAACAAACATTGATGTGCTTACAATGTGCCAGGCACTGTGTTTATCACTGGGGATACAAAGTACAAGCAAAAAAGAAGATAATCTGTCTTCAAACAGTTTACATTTAACGGGGAAAGAAAACACTTAAGATAGACACAGAACAAGTGAGTGGATTTTGTTGTTGTTCAGTTGTATCCAACTCTTCATGACCCCATTTAGAGTTTTCTTGGCAAAGATAATGTAATGGTTTGCTATTTCCTTCTCCAGCTCATTTTACAGATGAGGAACTAAGGTAAACAGGGTTAACTGACATGCCCAGGATCACACAGCTAGTAAGGGTCTAAGGCTGGATTTAAACTCAGGAAGATGAATCTTCTGGACTCCAGGTGCAATGCTCCATCCACTCAGTCACATAGCTCCCTCCACCTGAAGCATACAGCCTCTCTAATAATTCATCAGTCAATAATTCCTTCTGGTATGAATGAAACCTAAGTGATATTTAGTATTAGGAGTAGAATTAAACTAATCAGCAGTACATTCCATGAAATTGATATATAAGAAAATTATTTCAAAAAGAAACAAAAATCATCTAACAAATTTTTTCTTAAATGCCTACGAGAAGTTTGTTAGATACCACGTTTGATGACAAATTTTGAGTGGCATTTATAAACCAGGCATCAGAGCATTAGAGCATCAGAGGGAGGAAACAGAGATAATAACCCTATTTTTCAGATGAAGAGACTGGACCTCAGGTTTTTCTGAGGATCTGAACCCAGACCTCTTGATATCTGTCTAGTTATTTTACACTATATGATGCCACTTCTCTTTATGTCAGTATCTAATGTTCAATTTCCATGAATTTTGAATTAAATCTCTTCAAGGTCATCATCATTCAGGAATTTCTCATGGCACAGTAAAAATAATAAGTTGTTGAATTATAAGAGCAAAAGATTTCCACAAAATTCTCTCACAAAATCAAATCTGGTTTCCAATTATACTGAACGACAATACTCATAATGTATGAGAATTCTAGTTGAATTCTTGGTCAAGCTCTGTATTTCCTATGCTCAGATTTCACCTAAGCATCACTCACAAAGAGTTATTGAAAATGCAGTGTCAGATGCAGCTAGATTGCACAGTGGATAGAGCTCAGTACCTGGAGTCAGGAGGACCTGAGTTCAAATCCAGCCTCAGACACAATATTCACTAGCTGTGTGACCCCAGGCAAGCCACTTAACCCCAACTGCTTTGCAAAGAGAGAGAGAGAGAGAGAGAGACAGAGAGAGAGAGAGACAAAGAAAAGAAAAGAAAATGCAGTATCACTAATGTAATTCTTTATAAATTTGATTAAAATTTTGAAATTTTTTTGGAGGGTATGATCAAATGAAAAAGAAAAGCAGAAAACATCTCTATGTTTAATGTTCAGTAACTTAGAAGTCATTATTTTAAAAGCCTGACAGAAGCAAGCTTTGTCCCCTCCTTCCTTACTACCTCAATGGGCATGTTGTGCCTTAATTTAGCCAATGGCTCAATCATCCAGTTTTGAAGTGAATTAGAAGCTTAGACATTGTGCTTCGGGGCCATGATTTTACTTACTGGCTGAAGCAGGAAAATGAGGGAATCCGCTTGTATGATGATAACAGGCACTGGAGTAATGGTAGTTGCATGGAAAAGGGTCTCCACAGAAGCCATGATCTGGTCAAATCGTCCCGCGAGTCCACCCAAAGTCACAATCAGGTCAACCTAAGCAAGACAAGAAAATGCATCTATAAATGAAATGTTAAGAGACTTGCCAATAATTACACAGCGAATTAAAACTATTCATTTGTTATGTGCATTAGAAGTAGAACACTCTCATTATCATAGAATCATTTGCTATTAAAATATCATCTACCTTTAACGTACATAAAAAATTTGATAATTTTCAGCACATATTTCTCATTTCATATTTGTCAAGTGAACAGATGTTTTGATCCTTAATTCAGAAGATGATTTATATAAGGTGACAACATGAATACATCAGTGTTTAAATTTGATTACCAAACATTTGTTTTAAACAGTAATAAATTATTTTTAAGCAAGAAGTCTTAATTCTTGGAGGTAAGGGGGAAAAAAGGAGAGGATCTATTTTTTATTATTATTATATATTTTTTCTTGTTAAATTCTTATTTTGTTTCTGTAACTGGGCACCAAGTCATCCTCAGTGAATACAAGTCAAGAGAGGAATCACTATGAGGCAATATGAATTCGTTAAAAACAAGTTACCTGGACTTCATTAATGTTCTTATAATATCCTGATGTAAAGGGTGGAGAGATGTGAACTGGTTGAATAAAAAGCACCAGCATTCTGACTAAAGGATCACTGTGATCATTGATGGGGATCACAAGTTCTGCAAGGCTGTGTCTTCTGCACAGTTTAGTTACACATCTTTATCAAAAGCCACTGTCGCGATCTAAAAATCATTAATTCCAAATCATTTATTCCCCTTGAACCTCAGTGGAGAAAAACCTTAACAACCCATGTAAGGAAAGGGAGACTTGAAGGCCACTGGTCATGCTTCTAGACTTGACCTTCAAAGCTATCACAAAGGGGAGAATACCTTATAAAGAAAGAGTTAATGATTCCTACCAATACCACTATCAACTTCAAACCAACCACTACCCACAGAGCAGGCAAGCCAGCTTACCTGAAGCATCATGAGGGAGCAACAGGTATCTGGTGGATACTACCCAGGACTCAGAGCTCAAGACACCTGGGAATAGCAATGACTCTCAAATCATTAGTTTTGTATCCAGCAGAGGTCCCAGAGCCATTACAGAGAAGATCAATCATTGTTTAGATGTGACCTGGCCACTGGTTCTGCAGGTGTTATTGTCCCACCTCTTTGTCAGATACAGCTACAGAAGACCGAGAGAAGAAAGTCCTACCCAACAAATTTCTTGGTACCGTCACATGTTTCAACATTAGAAAGAGATTTAATTATCAGTGGGAATGATATTAAGAAAGGCACATTGTCATCAGTTTTGTTGCAATACTTTAAAATCCACTGGACTTTAACATCTGACTTGTACCTAAATCCTCCTGTAAGTTGTGCCTCCCCCATGAGAAATTGATCTTCTTAAAAACATGGGCTGTCTCACTTTATTATTTGCAGTCTCTGTGCTTAGCAAAATTTTCTACACATAGTAAACACTTAATAAATATTATTTATATATTTATTAATTCATCAATGACTTGGAAGAAGACACAGATTACATGTTCAGCAAATATGTAGATGATACTAAGCTGGGAGAGAAAGCTAATACTTTGCCTGCCAGCCCTGGGATCTGAAAAGATTTCATCAGGTTGAAATACTGGAATGACCCTAATAAAATGTCATTTAATATGAATAAATATAAAACAGTGATTTTAAAAAGGCTTGTATTAAATGATACAGAAAGAACAAAGCAGGACCAAATGAACAATATACACAAGAGTCCAAACTCCAAAAATTAAGAGAATAAAAATTTGAACCAAAAATACAATGATCAAAGTTGGTTCCAGACTTCCTTTCTGTTAAGAAATGATAAACTAAAAGAGCAGAATATACCATGAATATTCACTATTCGTTAAACCTCAAAAGATCCCATAATTTTTAAAAATAAGATTTAATCACTGTATTTAGGAAATAGACATGATGAATCAGCGATATCTGCAAATCAGTCATCAAGTTCCTCAGACCAAAGAAGTCCTATGATTACTTCTCATTTTCTTGCTGTATGTGCATTTACAAAGGCTGATCAAATAAACTAAATCAATTACATTGATCAGAAGATCATTGTAAGCTGGGGAGCAAAGAGGAGAGAGGAAAAGGACACACCTTACCTTTGAATAATTGTTAGAGCTTACCAACAATCAATAAATAGTGTTTCTAAGAGTAAGTGAACAGAAGGAAGAAAAAGAAAAAGAATGGAAGAGGAAAAGGTAATTAAGCAATTAATATGGACTTAGCAACACTAGATTTCTCTTTCTAGGAGTTTAACACAGGGGGCACCTAGGACTTAGCATGAAGTATTCACACAATCCCAGAGTTTATAAAATATGTAAAAAGCCTCAGGTAGTCAAGTATTAATTTAGCTCTCAGAAGGCATACACTACTAGGAATTCAGCAAATATCAGGCAGACAGAACAGCAATTAGGTTGAGTTAAAAGCTACCTCATTTTTTTTCCCAAACAATACTTTTCTATTTGATGAGGGCTCAGTTTTAATAATATAGAGTAAATAACTCCCTCTACTAACATAGAGAAATTTCAAAACATATTTACCTAATGCATAGTCCTGATCTATGATAAAAGAGGAAAAAAAAAACAAACAACTTATAAGGTTATTAAGTAGAAAAGGCCATAAATTGTCAATCATAAGATGGACATCCTAAGACCTTAGCCATTATACCAGGATCAATAGTGAGTTCAAAGCAGGATACCACCCTACCCTCCCTTGATTCCAACTACAGATCCCACTTCCATAGACCTGAAGGGAGATATAGGACCTTAACTGAAAAAGTTATGGAGCCAGTTTGTTCAGCATCCAGCTCCGCCCACAAATTTGGCTTCTGATTCACAAGATTTGTTCATTCATCATCTATAATTTTCTGGCATAGCCACTGACTTACTAGAGGGAAAACAATCTCTGCTAAAGTAGCTAAGGCCAACAAACCCCTAAGTTGTAATTTAATTTGTTTCCTTGTCTGTAAAATAAAGATGAATTCTAGGGTTAAATCTGGCTTAGCCCATGACTCCCCAGACTACTTCTCTGTCTGTACCTCAACAGCCTCCTCTCTCTCTTCTTTCAGTTGTGGAGTTCTAAACTTGAACCTCCATTTGAGAGAGAACCCATGCTAGACATTCTCACTTCAAACAAGGCTCAGTTCCTGACTCTGGACTATTTCTTCTCATCCTTCAGCTTCCTTTTATATAGTGTTTTCTTCCTTTAAACTCTTTCAGAGAACATTTAAATAATCTGCTGTTTTCTATCATTCTCCTTCTCCCACCTCTGGAACTGTTCAGGCAAAAATCAGATAGCAATATATGAGGATAGATAGTATGTCCCCACAGTAGAGAGACATTTTAATTGCTTTTGTGGAACCAGAATATGCTCAGACTGTGTTTTTGGCATCTGAACTGATTTAGGAACTTTTAGCATTCCACTTGGATGGCCTCTAACCCACTAAAGATTGGAATGCTTAACTCAAACTAGTATTTATAATAAGTATGATGCTATTAGCTGAAAAAATAAAGAATTCTTTCTCTCCCTGTGTTTGCTAGTTCACAAATGACATACCAAATCAATCATAAATGAAACTTGAGGAAACAGCCAGCAGAGCTCCCAGATGAAGTTCCAAATCTTTTCTTAGATTTCTTAGTCTTTTCTTAGACTTTTATACTTTTCACAAAGAAATTCTGTAACTTTAATAATTATCTCTGCTCAGATGAATTCCCTTACCTGTTATATAATGCCAGGGCTTGCCATGTCTGTCTTCTTTTCTTCCCCACCCCTCAACCTACCACCAGTTTCCATATTCTGACATAAGAATTACTTTACTTTACTTTTTTAAGTGGATTAGACTTTCCATTACAGAATTCTATGAGATTCATAGGAAGAGAACATGACCACATTTATTCTGAGCCAATGAAAAAGATCTTGAGAAGACTTTCATTATTACCAACTATGTCTCCTCCCCACCCTCCCCTATCCTCCTGGGCCAAAGAAATACATTCAACTCTTAGTAAACACAACATAGAAAACATCAGTATTAGAGCTCCCCTTATGGTCAAAAGTTTAAAGATCTATAAAAGCAAAAATTAAAGACATGTAGATTCAACAAAGTCTACTGAACACAAACTCAGATGACTTGAATTCAAGTCTCAGCTCTTCAACTAACGAGTTATTTTGCTTTCCATAAATCACTGCATGCTGATTAGCCTCAATTTCCTAATGCATAAATTGGAGGCACTAATAATGTCTATCCTGCCTAGCCCCAAAAGCAATGAACTGAAAAATGTTCATAAATTTTAAAGCACACTTAATGTTAAGTGTGATTTTTTTTTAAATTGCAACCCATTGGAGAGAAGAAAAGTATAATGCTCATTGAATAAGAGTCCACATCACCCAAATAATTCTTTCTTTGTCGTTTTTCATACTATAAAATGTTAGACTGGGGGAAATCATCATTAAAGCTAAAAAGGAAACAACAACACTTGGCTCCTTAGTTACCACCCAACAACAACTGAATACAACGTAGATCGAAAACATAACTTTACAAGTAGGCTGGTTTTCTTAGGTTAGTCTAAGATTTCATTTGGATTAGATGTAATCTAAATTGTGAAACATTCCTATTGGAAGGTTTTTTGCATTTTCTTTTTTTTTTTTTTAATCAAAACCATGTGGTTGTTTTAATTCGGAAGATGACCTGGAGGGTAACTGTTGATCCTCTCAGAAAACAGCATCAGGGCAAACTGACCACAGTAAGAGTCAATGCTTTGTTCTGGTTCCTGTTTATACCTTTATCAATGTGATTCCTTCACAGAGCTGCTCTTTTCTTTTCTGAAAACTACCATGTCATTCATTGTTTGCTGGTTGATAGGCTGAGGTCAGGGAAAGAGTCTGAGTGACAGAATTATTTTCTTTATATGTGAAAGTCTAACTTTACCTGAAACAGACTTTGTTCTTTGAAGCACATTGAAGGAAAACAGAAACTTTCAG